GGGAGGAGATGGAGGTTTCCTGTGAAGCCTAATTCAAACCCATCAGAGATCCTTGGTTATTTCTCTTTTACCATCACCTCCTGAACACCATCACTCCCATTACCTCAGATAAGTTTTCCAACTTGGAAATTTTTCAAGGATGTGAGAACACAGCTTTCCATGATGAATAAAAGTTCTAGAAATGTTGCCCACTAAATTCCCCTGTTGAAAGCTCTGCATGTGAATGATGTGAATGAAAGGAAGCCTGTTTAACATCACTTCATGGTGAAATCCAAAAGCATTTGCTCCAAAGAAGCCTTCTTGCTTGGGTACCCATTATATTCTGGTCCCTCCACATGGACTGGGCCACCCTACATGCCAACTCTCCTAAGGGGTAGTTGCACTTTGATTTTCTCCTTGCCTCTTGCAAGATAGCCAGGATCAATGAGATCCGGGCAACAAGCAATCACACATCCAGGTTTTATGCTACAGACTGGTGCTGGCCAATACCATGGCCTTGAACCACATTTAACTATTTACACTTATATTTAAATTAATTAAAACCACAGACAGCTGATTTACAATGGTTCGATTTAAGATTTTTTTCAACTTCACGATGATGCAAAAGTATGCCAATACCACCACCATGTTTTTTACTTTCGGTACAGTTTTCATTACACTATATGGGATATCTAATACTTTATTATAAAATGGGCTTTGTGTTAGCTGATTTTTTCCAAATGTAGGTTAATGTAAGTGTTCTGAGCATGATTAAGGCAGGCTACCAGAATCAGTACATTAGATGTGTTAAATGGTTTCTGACTAACAATATTTTCACCCTACAATGAGTTTATCAAGACACAACTCCACTGAAAGTCAAGGACCATCAGTATTTGATTTTAAATGAAATAAAAAGCTCAATTCCTCACTTGTACCACCCATATTTCAAGTGTTCAAATCAACATGTAGCTAAGGCTACCATTTTAGTCAAAACAGATACAGATTTCTATTATCAAAGAAATGTCTTTTAAACACTGTCACAATAAGCCCTTCAACCACAGAAGGAATCCTCTTAGCTTTTGTCCCATTGCATCTTTTACATCCCCCAAAAGACTGCAGGATCCAGTGAAAACAAAGATAAGGTTGTGTCACCTTTCTATCCCACTACCAGTCCAGGGCCCTGTAAGGAGACCCACTCAGCTGTGGATGTTCCCTTCTTTTTACTCCTGAAGCATCTACCTATCTCTGTCACACTAGCATACTTTAACTGGTTTTATTGATTTAAAAAATAATATGGAATAACTGAAAGAGTTTAAAAATCAACAGGTAAGCTGGGCTCTGGTGGCTCACACTTGTAATCCTTGCTACTCAGGAGGCAGAGATCAGGAGGATTACAGTTCAAAGCCAGCCCAGGCAAATAGTTCACAAGACCCTATCACAAAAAAAAAAAGAAAAAAAAATCACAAAAAAAGGGCTGGTAAAGTGGTTCATGGTGTAGGCCCTGAGTTCAAACCCCAGTACCACAAAAAAAAGGTAATACTCCCAACTATAGACAGCCACTCAACATTTTGGAGTATACTATTTCCATTCATTTATTTGATAAACAGATATTTCTATTGTTTATTGAGATACATTTTTTGCATATAGTAAAATTCACCATTTTCATTTGATGTATGATCACTGATTCATTTAATCATCTCTACAGTCAAGACCCAACATAGTTCCATCACCCGCCTCAAAAAACAACCCTTCCTACTCCTTTGTAGTTTAACTTCTCTCCCAACACCTCTCTAGCAATCACTTTTCAGATTTCTGTTCCTGTAGTTTCAACTTAATTTTGGCAGTGCTGGAATCAAATCCAGGGATCCCCTTGAGCATGTTAGGCAAGCACTCTTCCACTGAGCTACACGTATACCCTGTTTTATTTTCATTTTAAGAAAGGGTTCTGCTAAGTTTCTCTGGCTGACCTTAAACTTTCGATCCCCCTGCTTTGCTTCCCAAGTAGCTGGGATATCAAGTGTGCACCACCATGCCTGGCTTGTAGTTTCAACTTTTTAAGAATTTCAGGACTGGTGGAGTGACTCAAGTGGTAAGAGCACCTGCCTAGCAAGTGTGAGGACCTGAGTTCAAACCCCAGTGCTGTGAAATAAAAATGGAATTACACAGCAAGTACATTGTTTTCTTTCATTTTTTAAATCTGGCATCTTTCATTTGACATAATGCTTTTGAGATTTATCCATTATATGTTTTTTGTCTGTTTTGGTTTTTTTGCAGTACTGGGGCTTGAACTCAGAGCCTACACCTTGAGCTACTCCACCAGCCAATTTTTGTGATGGGCTTTTTTTCCAAGATAGGGTCTTGTGAACTATTTGCCTGGGCTGGCTTCGAACTGCAATCCTCCTGATCTCTGCCTCCTGAGCAGCTGGGATTGCAGACATGAGCCACTGGCACCCATATATTCCATAATAGCTTTATCCATTTTACAGTTGATAGACATTTGAGTTGTTTCTAGCGTTTGTCAATCATGAATAGTTATTATAAACCTTTGTACACAGGTTTGTGTGTATACAAATGTTTTCATTCCCCTTGGGAGGTAGATTATTAGTCACATTGTATATACTAAATATACATTGAATTTTATAAGAAATTACAAAATTGACTTTTAAAGTGCCTTTACTCTCTTACATTCTCACCATAAATATATGAGAGTTCCTGTTGCTCCCACATCTTCACCAGCATTTTGTTTTTCTCCAGTTGAAGCATTCAAATATGTACATGTGGTTGTTCGTTGTGGTTTTAATTTGCATTTAATACAAATGATCAATTATTTTGAGCATCTTTCTATATACTTATTTGTTGTAAATTCCTTTACTTTTGAGTTTTGTTATAAGAAATCTGTATATATTCTAGATGCTGGCACTTGGTCAGAATTGTTTTCTATAAATACTTGCTCCAAGTTTATGGAGGACTGTGTCTTCACATTCTTAGCAGTGATTTTTGAAGAGTAGTTGGTTTTTCTTCTTTTGGTTTATTTATTCATATGTGCATACATTGTTTGGGTCATTTCTCCCTCCTGTTCCCCGCCTCTTCCCTCTCCCCCCACCCCCTTGCTTCCAGGCAGAATCTGTTCTGCCCTCTTCTCCAATGTTGTTGAAAAGAAGACATAAGCAATAATAAGAAAGGCATACCGTTTTTGCTAGTTGAGATAAGGATAGCTATACAGAGAGATTCCTAGCATTGCTTCCATGCACAAGTGTATTACAACCCGAATTGATTCATCTCTACCTGACCATGAAGAGTAGATTTTAAGTGAACTGAAGAACAGGTAGTCTAAGTAACTTCACATGCTGAACTTTGACCATGGAGATACGATGTCTAAGTTTAAATCATCTAGTGGTTTCTAGCCTGCTTCTTCACTATCTTTTCATTAATGTTCTCACATAATTAAATATTATTTGAAAACATGATTTTTAATATGCACTGTATAGCACTCCCATGTCTATATCTTAGTTTAACTGTTTAGGGTGCTTATATTTATTTTCATTAAACTAAAATTAAGAAGAAAAGAGAGAAATATATGTTTACTATCCTGCACAGAAACCTTTGTACACATCACCAGTTATTTTCATAGTATAAATGCTTATAATTGTAAAGGCTGAGACAATGGCATAGTTTATAATTGTCTCTTCAAAAAGACCACAGATGTCTTTTTTTTTAACCCATGTGATTTTTTTTTTCTTTTATTCATATGTGCATACAACGTTTGGGTCATTTCTCCCCCCTTCCCCCACCCCCCCCCTCCTTACCCCTCAATACCTGGCAGAAACTATTCTGTCCTTATCCCTAATTTTGTTGAAGAGAGAGTATAAGCAATAATAAGGAGGAACAAGGGTTTTTGCTAGTTGAGATAAGGACAGCTATACAGGGAGTTGACATGCATTGATTTCCTGTACATGTGTGTTACCTTCTAAGTTAATTCTTCTTGAACTAACCTTTTCTCTAGTTCCTGGTCCCCTTCTCCTATTGGCCTCAACCACAGAGGTCTTGAAGCAGAGATTTTGTCTTGCCGTCCTTGCCATGCCAGTACATAACAAAGACCCTGTCCCATTGGTGCACTCTCCTTACTGGAAGAAAAGAAAGGTGATGGAAAGAATTCCACCCAGTCCCATCCTTTTGTCTTCTTCCTGGGAAAGAAAATAAGAACTTCCTGTCCATATCATAGCAAGATCCTGATGCAAAACAAAACTGTTTTATTCGTGGTTCTAGGGCTTGAACTCAGGGCCTATACCTTGAGCCACTCTACCAGCCCTTTTTTGTGATGTGTTTTTTCGAAATTGGGTCTTGCAAACTATTTGCCCGGGCTACTTCAAACCGAGATCCTCCTAATTTCTGCCTCTTGAGTAGCTGGGATTACAGAAATGAGCCACCAGCACTCATCTTAGAAATGCAATTTTTAAATTGATGTGATGATGATGATAAGGGGATATGAATGTAAATGAGAGACTGTTTGGGGGGAATGATGAGGAGGGGAGAGAAGGAAAGGAAAGTATACTGAGGGGTGAAAAAGATCACATATGAAGACAGCATAGTGAAACCTACCAAACACTGTTTGTAAAAAGGGAGGAGGACAAAAAAAAACACAAAAAGGGAAGGAGGGAAGGGAGAATGGAGTGGAAATAAAATGGAGAGGATGAACTTATTCTAAGTACATGGTATGCATGCATGGAATTATCACGATGAAATCCCTTTGTATTATTAACACATGCTAATTCAAAAATAAAGTAAAATTAAAAAAAAAAAAAAAGAACTTCCTGTCTCCTGTAAACATCTATCTACCTTGCCTTCCCAGAAGAGAAGAAGAAGAAAGTTGTCTTTGAAGAGAAAGCTTACCCAGGAGATGCAGGTTCCCAAAGAGCTGGGTGACAAGTCCTGTTGCTGCTCAACAATGCCCTCAAAGGGCCCCGCCCCCGCTGGTATAAAGTCAGGGTGCTGGGGCAGCTGCAGCTGGCACTCAACCTCCAGAGCACTGGCAAGGCACTGGCAAACACACACATATGGCAAATGAAGTGCAAGTCCTGCTGGCCTCACTGAAAGGGGGGCATCCTCCTGCAGGTAGGTTCCCACATGCCCTCCATTCCCAGAGGGCTGCACCTGTTGCCCTCCCACCAATGCTCACAGAAGCCACTCAACAAGAGCAGAGGTTTTCCCATCACTATTTCTTTAACTTCTGCAGCCTGAGTTCCCCTGTGTTTTTCATCCTCCCTAGCTTGTGCATAAAACCACCTGGGGATTTGTCAGGCCCCTTAAGTGGCAAACTTTATATGGGTACATAAGGGATTCGGTGCCTGTGGAAAGGGACAGGTAGGGAGGCTGCAACCTTCCCTCCCTGCCTGTAGGTTAGCTGTGACAAAGCCATATCCAGATGATTTGCTACTATGGGAAATCTCCTCTAGAAGTTCCAGCTCTCAGACTCAGTCTCCCCTAGATGCCTGGACCTCATCTGACTTTGTATGCAGGCAAAATAGCTTCCGCACAGAAGATAGCATGCCATCTCTCCCTCCTCAGGCTTTCAGGGGCGTAGTTTGTCCACAGACAAGGAACACACAAGGACGGACTGGAGAGGATGCTGACTTGGAAAAGTAGCTAAGCAGGGGTTTTGCAAAGCATTCATAGTTGTCTTTTTTTTTTTTTAACTTAAGCTATTTATATCATCTCTGGAATATGGGAACTAGTCCTATTGTCATTAACCGTATAGGTTGCTTGGGATGTACAGGCCTATTTTTAGTCAGTTTCATGTTCTTTCAGCTGCTTTCCTGCTCTTTTCCTTAAGAAGGATCTCAGAAGCTTGGCTCCTTTGTGTACTCTACTTACAAAATTTAATTATTGATATAATTCTTTGGCATCTCTAAACCCAGATTATTTCAGTCATTTTTGCTGCAGTGATGGCAGATGGTGGCAGGTGGAAACTTTGTAAAGGGTCAAAATCTACCACAGTTTCAGTGAGTTCTGGTGGCTGTGCAGCTGAATGGAGCCTGGATTTTACTGGAATTCCAGTTCTAGGCACAATGACCTGATTGCAATCTACTAGCATTTTATATTTGTAATTGAATTTAGCAATATTTAACAATATCTATATTTAAATGTAATGATGATGGGATTATTGGTCAGGAAGTATATATAGAAATTATTAGAATTGTTAAAAAATCTTAAAAACACACTATTCTCTTCCTGTAACTTTTACTGCAATCCTTCATAAAACAGTTAAAATGTGATTTGCTAAACTACATTTCTGCACAGAGAACACAGAGATAAACTTAACCAAATGAAAGTTTGAATGAAACCACCAGGAACTTTCTATCCCCACCACTAATGATTGCTAATTACTCTGTGTACTTAACACACCCTGACTCCATCAAGCATGTCACAATGCCTCTGGCATGACAATTAATTATTATGAACTGTGACACTACAGATAAGAGGTTTTGGATAATTAGAATGGAGATGAAGGCAGACTTTTGCCTCCCTACTGAGAACAAGAGAACAAAGAAGCCTCATCCTTCAGCTGGTCTTGCTACATTTTTTAAGTCTGAACCAGTTTGTGATGGTACAACATTTTATTTATGGAACCAAAATAATTAGGTGCCAAAATCCTATTAAATCTTCACCTGATTTTTACAAGCAAAAAATACAGAACTATGAAAGTAGAAGTCAGTCTGTTATGATGAGAAAGGTATTTTGGAATCCAAATGGAGTTAGAACTTTTCTTTCATTCTATTACCTCTGAGCCTCAGTTTTCTCATCTCTGAAAAGAGGCCAGTAAATAAAATCAATCTGGTAAGGTCGTGATGATTAAGAGAGATCGCTTATGTAAAGTACCTGTCCCTTGCAGGGTGACCCCTTTAAAAGGTTGACTTAGTAAAACACATTGCAGTCAGCAGAAACAGTGCTCCCCAATTTCACATCTCCTGTTGGAGCTACATTAGGCATTGCCGCAACGGTCAGGACAGGAAGAAATTGCAGTGGAAAGGACACTCATGCCTGTGCCATCTAGTTAAAAATGAAACTACTCGGAAGTCAGCCAGCTGTAACTCTACCGCCTGCATCTGGAGTGCTGAGCAGTTTTCCTTTCATGTGTATTAATGTAATATATTGCACCTCTGATAGCCCTGCTTATGTATTTATGCTGTGAAGCAAGCCTACATTAAACATGAGGTGGCCTGGGCTCTAGGAAGCCTAGCTCTGAATTTCCTGCTTTTTTTGATTTACCTCACTCTTAGTTTTCTAAGAGCCCTATTACATGAACAGCAGTACCAAAAATGTGTGAGTAAAAGGAGGTTCAGAGAAGCTAAATACATGATGAATAGGAAGACTGGCAGTGGTTCATCAGTTTTTCTATATTCCCTGTGCTTTTTAAACTGATTTAAGCCAAATGAATCCTAGACATCAGGAGGTCACCACTGAAACCCTAGAGAAGTTTTCTGGCTCGTTAGAAAAAGAGGAAAGTTTGAGGGATGGAGCTATAATCAAGTGGAAAACTAATGCAGAATCTGGGGAATGACCATGTGTGCATAAGGACCTGGGTCATTTAAAAACAAACCAAAGGCTTAACTTTTCTCAACTCTATCTTCTCATCTTAGAGGCTGGAGGAGGAGGGATCTGTGAGGTCAGTAGACAATGGTTTTGAGACCCACTGCCCAAACATCACAGGGGTAGAGACTTGAAGACTGCAAAAAACAGTTACCATTCGCTCAAAGCTGACTGTGCACCTGGCATAGCACAGAAACTTCTAGACGTGGCAGCAGCCCTGCAGATGAATGATGTTTCACAGAAGAGCAAACTGAAAGGTAGCGAGGTTGAGGGTCCAAAGCCACACAGCTTCAGAGTAGTGGAACTGGGATTGGAAAATAACATTGGCTTCACGCTTTCTAGGCAGGTGCTCTACCACTTGAGCCACTCTGCCAGCCCACAATCTTCTCTTAATGAGGGTTTTTGGGTCCTGATTGAGTGATACCCAAAAAATTTGCTGAAGAATCAGCTGTCAATGCAAAGTAAGCATTTTGCAAATATCAACCTTTAAAAAAAAAATCTTCAAATAGAAGTTCTCAGTCGCAGATAGAGTTTGCACACACCTTTGTGTCTGTCTGCTGTTTTGCATATATTTGCCACAATTGATGCAGGAAAAAGCCTATTTTTTCTTGCAGGCTTATTTTTATCTTGGCTACTCTGTACTAAAAACTGTACACAATGTCTAGAAAATCTTAATAGGAAAATTACTATATAGAATTTGAAACTACAAGTTCTATCCTTAGAAAGTCACAGACCACAAAATCTACCATGAGAAAGTAACTCTTTTACAGAGATAGGAAGCAAAGTTTCAGTTTCTGCACATAAATTTAGGTTTCCTTTGATTTTTTGCTGGATTGGTTTTTGGGGGTTTGTTTTTGTTTATGGTTTCAGTGCTGGGCACTGAATCTAGGGTCTTGTGTATGCTAGGCAACCGCTCTACCACTGAGCTACATACCTAGCCCAAATTTAAGTTTTCTAGTGAAACTATGTAAATGAGCATCTCTCTCATTTTTACATTTTCTGTGTCTAGCTCATTTCACCTATTAAAAAGTTCTAAGATTTTATTAGAAGTATTTGTATTCACATTTATACCTATGGCACCTTAAAATATTAAACCAGTTCACATTTTACTTTGTTCAAGTCCTATTGGCCTTTCTACAAAGTATCAAAAAAACATTGTGTAGTACCAAACATGGAGTTAAGGAAATGATTACAAATTTAAATGCATTTATCTGGATACAGTGAGATCTTGGAAAGTTCTTTGAGTCAGACTTACTGGGTATAAGCAAAATGAGCCAGAATGTGAGTGTGTTGGGTTATAAACAATGGTTCATCTAGATTTTGGGAGACCAGTGTGACAGGTATTCTCAGCAGAGCTTTGAAGATGACCTCCCACAAACTGGTTCCATCTGGTTAGGTCACCCCAAAGCAGTGAGAACTTCAATCCATATCTCAGTGCACCCTTCCTCAGTGTGGGGATATCATCTCCTGCTTCTCTCTCTCCACTCTTACAAGGGTGGCAAATGAGATCACCTCCCAAAGCAAGGTTGGTTCAGGAAATGTATTCAGAAAATCCAAGGAGAGGTTTCCTTAGGCTTCCTAAATCACTGAGTTATCATCCACAGCCCGATCATAGAATGGGATTCAGAGACTGCTGGATGGAAGGAGGAATCTTCTGGGGAGAATTTTTAATTCCTACACCAAACTGTCTCTGTTTAATTGTTCAAAACAATGAAGAACTGTTTTGTTTGTGGAGGTTTTTATGTCTTCTGGCCTTTATTTTTCTGTTGAGCCCTTTGTACTTTCCAAAGGGAGGGAAGTGATGGATTTTCTTTTGAAGGTAGATGAAAAGAATCAGAATCATAAAAAGGACATTATAATAAAGATTATGTAGCTCAACTTCTACCAAATTCCCCAGATTTCTCCTTCAGTGCTCATGATAACTGGACTTCTTTCCCTCACTTTAGTACTTTGAGGGGCAAGGAACTCATTATTAAACTGGGCAATGTATTTCACATTGACTAACACAACTGTTATATATAGCAGGCCCTGTGTTTCTAGAATTTCCATTATTAGGTCTTTGCTCTCTCCTCTGAAATAATGTAAAATGAATCCATATAATAATAACTACCAATTATTAATTGCCTAACATGCACCAGGTGCATATGTCACTCTAATTTTTTAAAACAATCTTGGACAGCCAGTAATATTCCTTTGTAAGGATGTGGAAACTGAGTCTGAGAGGAAATCAAGTATCTTACCCAAGGTCTCTGCATTGGTCTGTTTTTCACAATTATGATGAAAAGGCTTACTTTATAAATAAAAGAGGTTTACTTATACATAAAGAGGTTTTTTTTAGCTCACAGTTCTAGTCTAGTTCACAGTTCAAAGGCATGGCACCACCATCAGCTTAGCTATGGTGAGAACCTCATGGCAGAAGGCAGGAGCACAAATGAAAGGGAGAGATCACATCACCAAACAGGAAGCAAGAGAAAGACTGGGGTCCCACGATCCCATCAAAGGTCACACTCCCAAGTGACCTAAGG